AAAAAAAAAAAAAAAAAAAAAAAAAAAGTATAATTTGTAATAGAGAAGAGACGGATGAAAAGTTTTAAAAAAAATACTATCAATTGGAGACCGACTCTGAAAATATTAAGAATTATGATTCGTCAAAGTAAAAATAAATTTCACGTAAAATTACCATCAATGCTGGATATCGAATTACATTCCAAAGAGTGCTCATCAAAATTTCTATCTCTTCGACCCCCACCACCTCGACCCCGTCCTCTACCTCTTGTACTTGAGTACCGAGATCCGAGACGCACGCTCTGCGCATCACTACAACCAGAAGTTCCTGAAGCATATAGTACCTCGTTTACTAGCTTTGATCAAAATAAAGGAGAAGACTGCATCAGATAGGTTACTGATGCTTGTTTTTTTCACGTTTTCTCTTTTGAACTTATAAAACAAAACTTCAAAAATTTTAAAACCAAAAATATAAGAACATTGTTTCTATAAAATCAAATATAAATCAACCATCATGCAAAAATAAAAATAAAATAAAACCTTGGTACTGTTTTTGCTTATAACTGTTATCGGTTAGTGGGACTTTCGGCGGTCTTTTAGAATTAGCATTCAATACATTACTGCTATTTACATTAACATTTCGATGTTCAACTTTAGGCTTATTAACAGTTATATCGGTGCCTGTTTTTAGCATTCCAGGCCGGTACAACTGTACGGCAGGTCTAACTTTTTTCTTACTTGTCTCACCATCACCTTCTTTAACATCCATTCAAAAGCCGATTCGTTTTGGATAAAATTTCCTGAACAACCATTTATCGCTGTTGTAAGGAATAAAGTACGAAAAATAATAATAATAATAATAATAATAATAATAATAATATATAATAATAATAATAATAATAATAATAATAATAATAACAGCAATTTTCATATTTTTCTCCTCTTTCCTACTTTTTTCCACTTTAAACCGTTCATAAAAATCGTATATTTGAAATTTACATACACAACAATAATCCCATAATACAGTTTAACACAACTAGAGCAATAATATTAATGACGACTTGTACATCGCAATAACCTCCTTTTCATTTCCTATCTCCTTTCCAATTTTATCTAGCCTACCTTTTTAACTTAACGAAAAAGAAAAAAAAATAAAAAGATAAAACGAGACAAGAATAACAAAAACATAAAGACATAAAAAAAAACAAAAGAAAAATTAAATTAAATAACATTCGATGAACAGATAAATGGTTTACAATTGAAAATAAAGTAAAACAGCGAACGAAACTCGAAAACAGACGTCATATAACCGTCCAGACTCGTTTTATAAGAAAAGTTACGGAAAAAGTGAACGGAACAAAAAAAATATGTATATATATAATAAAGAATTGCGACAACACTAAGAAAACGACGACAAAATCAGCAAAGCATCAAACACTAAAAAAAAAAAAAAAAACAGAATTTTTTCCGCGCGCGTGCTCTATATTTGCGTTGGCGGATTGCCAAGATACGCTTACTATACTCTAAGCTCAATAACGATATATAATGAAAGCGGAGCATCAATAGTAGTAGCAGCAGCAACATCATTACTAAAACGATGACACCAACAACACCGACAGAAGAGTTCAGGTTGCTGTTGTTGTCTGTATCGCCATCATCACTACAATTGTTTCCGTCGTCGCCGTCATCATCATCGTCATCGTCATTTCAATTGTTGCTGTCGTCAATGTTGCCGTTATGCAACTACGGCAAGCTTACTGTTCCGCATAAAACTGTTTTGTTGTGACATTATTGTCCGTAGACTTGTCGAAAATTTTTTTCTGTAAAAAAAATCTTTTTGTACAAATATATATTTTTTTGTCATCTTTTGTGCTTAGAAATGCCAACTGTTTTTTCTATTTTTTTTTTCTTGTTGCCTTTTTTTTTTGTTGTCCCCAAACTTCAAGGTTTTTTTCATTCCGCTGTTTTGGTAGTAATAGTCGATTGGAAAAGTTTAGCATAGATTAACAGCGTATGTTTACTGCCGTTTTTTTCTTTGTTTAGCTGAAATTAATGTGTAACGAACAAAACTGTAGGGAAAAATTTGTAGCAGAAATATATAGGACAAAAGGCGAAGAAATGAGCGAAAAACAAACGCTGAGCAGCAGAAAGGAACAACAAAAACTAGAAAAAAAAAAAAGAAACAAATTAGCCAAAAATCATAAAATTTACGCTTAAACTGAACAACAGTTGTGCAGACCAATTTTGGTAAGCTATAAATAGATATATGCAACAAAATTGGATTACCAATTAAGATTGTTTTTTTTTTTTCTTTTTCTCTGAACCCATATTCATAAAGTAGCTGAGCTGTATTATGGAATGGTTAGGTATTTGTTTGAAATGGCAAGTCAACTGAAAAGAACAAGTCTTATTTTTCTCTTCTTGTCTTTTTTCTTTTCATTTCTTTAAGAAATGAATCATTAGCATTGGAGAATTGTGTGGTCATATGATGCGATGTTCTTTAGT